CACCCCCATGGGCTCACCAGACACAGCGTCGGGCTCTGGCTTCCTCCCCGGCAGGTCCTCTCCTGCTGGGCTGCTGCCCTCGGCCCCGACCCCGCAGCCCCGCGGGCCCATGGCGCTGGCGCGCCGCCGCTCATGGATCTCGTCAGAGATCATCTCCAGGTTCTTCAGGGCCGTCTTGTACTCGCCTTTGGCCAGGGCCAGCTTGGCCTGCAGCTCGTCCACAGTCTTCTTCAGTTGCTGGTGGGGGAGCAGGAAGCTCAGTAAGTAAAGGCTGCCCCCGTCGACCTTCCAACGCGTGTCAATGGGCAGCTTCAAGCCCATCTGCCCACCGGCCTATTGCTGGGATCCCCCAAGGCCTGGCTGAGGACCGATGACCAGCACCTAGCTTCCCCAGTCCCTCCGATAAATCCCCCGCCACCACCCTCCGCACCCAAGCCCATCCAGGTCTACATACTCGAGCTGTATGTTCCAGGAATGACCACTAGTGGGGAATAAACCCCATCACACAAGCTCCTCAGTGACTACAGTAGGGCCATCCTTTCCCAGGGCAGCAAGTCTCAAGAGATTCTGAGTTCAAGGTCACTGGAGGGGCCCTGGTAGCACTGTCAGGTAAGTGCTGTCAGTGGATAACCACCAGGTCAGTGGTTCGACTCCACCAGCCACTGCTCCCTAGAGATTTGCAGCCTCAGAAACCCTGTGTACCTCGTGGCTATGAGCCAGAACCAGCTTGATGGCTGTGGGTTTGGGTTCAGTCAGGTGGGGCCTGAGAGTTCTCATTTCTAAAATGTTCCAAGGCTGTGTTGACCACCCTGAAGAACTACTGCCCCTAACCCAATACAGAAAATGAGACCGGGTGTCGGATTTGGCCCCTAACCCAATTACAGAAAGTGACCAGGTGGCAGATTTGGCACGCGTCCTCCCTGGACATGCGATGACTATGATGCTACCAAAACCATGTGAAGCCCGGAGACCCAAGGAGCGATGGGCCTCAGCAAACAAAACCCACTGCCACCACAGCACCTGTGGGCAGAGGGCAGCTGCGGGGTCTCTGAGATGCGGCTTCGCAGAAGCAGACCGCCACATCTTTTGCCTGCAGCTGGTGGGTTTGCACAAACCTTTCGGCTCAAGGTATCAAACTAGCGTGACAGCAGGGCTCCTTCACAGAAAATGGACGATTTGAAACAAAACCACTGCCATCAAGTCAGTTCCAAGGCACAGAGACCCTGCTGGGCTCAGGACAACCACCCAAGGCAGTGAATATTTACAGAGAAAACTTCGTTTCCCTCAGACACGCTAGTGGGTTCACAGTTAATCTGTCAGCAGAGTGCCTTAACCACTGTGCCACCAAGGCTCTGTATCTGAAAAGCAGATGGCCACATAACAGTGGGGGGGGGGGTGCGTGCAGAAATCCCACCCGTGGCCAAGCCAAACCCATACGTACCTCCAGCTGCACGTAGTACTTCCCCTTGAGTTCAAAATAAGGCCTGTAAACAACACAGAGGAGACGCCGTAAGGGTCACCCGAGGCAGGTGGAAAACCCCTCGGGGAATCGGAGGTCCGGCCATCCTGCCACGATCTGACCCCTAACAAGGCGGCGAGGGCAGGGCACTGCTTGGGCTCTGTGGTCTGATGTGCTCTGTGGGGCTCAGCCAGGGCCTTGCTGACGGAGACCCTGCTCTAGACACCCGTGTGCTGCTCAAAGCCTCGCGGAGTGCTGAGCAGCTGAAGTGGCCAGGGCCCCTTCTCCCAGGGAGGATGGTTCTCCTGTGGGCCCTCCTGGACTTTGTCCAGGACAGCGGTTCTCAGCCTGGGGGTTGCAACCCCTTTGGGGGTCAAATGACCCTTTCATAGGGATCGCCCGATTCAGAACAGTAGCAAAATGACAGTTACAAAGTAACAACAAAAATAATTTTATGGTTGGAGTGTCACCACAACATGAGGAACTGTATTAAAGGGTCGCAGCATTAGGAAGGTTGAGAACCACTGTCCAGGACCAGTGGTACGGGCTGGTCTGATTTTAGATCCCAGCACCAACCAGTCTGCAGATGCAGCCAGGTCACAAGCATGAGCGAGGACAAGAAGCACAAATGTCACAAGGCCCCTGGCCTGTCGGTCAGCCAGCAAAGGGTCCGGCTTGGTTTAGGAACCTAAGAGGCTGAGCATCGGGGCAGACCAGTGCCTTATTCCTGGGCTCCCCACCCTCCACAGAGCTTCCGAATCTTCATCCTGAGGATGTAGCCAGATGGCAAGGATGTGGAAAAACAGGCTCAGTGGGGGCGAAAATCTGGAATGTGGGGGTGTGTTTGGGGGGATCACAGGGGCTACTCTGCCAACCAAACACCGCCATCAGGTGGATTCTGACTCACAATGACCCTAAAGGACAGGGTAAAACTGCCCTTGTGGGTTTCTGAGACTGTAGCTGTTCACAGGAGTAGAAAGCCTCATCTTTCTCCCAAGAAGCAGCTGGCGAGGCGAGGGTGGTGGGAGGCGGGTGACTGGGAGTGCGAGGGCACCAGGAAAGAGGAGCGGCTATGCCACCACGTGGCCAAAGGAAAGCTGGGAGGGGCAGGAACGGAGGAGCACCCAGGTGGACATGCTACCCTGTCTCTACGCTCTGCCACATGTAGGAATCCTACAAAGCTGGTGGAGTCCGACCACACGGGTGTTTTATTTTCTTAAATAAGGATGTGGAGCGTGAGCACATCTGTGTGTGAGGAGACCTGTGGGCATAGAGGGAGCTGCACACCTCGGGGCCTACGGTCTGAACCCCTCCCTCGGTGGCTCTGAGGGAGAAGGATGAGGCTGTCTGCCTGGGAAAGATGGACAGCCTCAGAGACCCTGAGTCCGCATCGACCGTGGCTGTGTGTGTCTGTGAGAGAGAGAGAGAGACATTTTGGTTTTCCTTGCAGATCTAAGATCTCCTTCCTTGACTCAACATCCCCACTGGAGAAGCGCTAGGCATCCGCTGCTGGTCCCTGCCTGGCTGAGGCCCGCTGCTCCAGGGGACAGAACTATC